CCATGGGAGTTAAAGGGTTAATGTGTTGCATTAAGAAATAAAGCTGTAAAAAAACAACAACAAAAAACACCCAAGAAAATTCAATGCTAAATCCCTACTGCTTGATAACTTGAGCGGATATTACGTAAATTTTTTTGTATGATCCATTTGAAATACACAAAACCAAAGCATGTTTAGTTCACACAGCTGTAGTAAATGATTCCACTGGTAATTAACTTCACTGGTACAGTTTAGGTTTGCAGACAACATTAGTGTGACTACATGTAAAATATGTGCATGATTAAAGATGGCCACTGATGAGAATGGATATTAGAGAAAGTTTACTGTAGACACTTCAAATTCATGAACTTACACTCAGGCCCTTGCTGGTGAGTTCCTCCAGTTTCTCATGAATTCTCTTCTCAACAGACTTTTCTTTTTCAAACTCTTTCTGACATTTGTTGAGCAAAATTTTGCGGAAGGTCAATTCTTTTGTTGTCCCATCCTTCTCTACTAACACTTTTTTCTGTTTTAAGAAGAAATCGCACATTATCACTCAATCAAACAGACACATGATTGCTACAAATATTCTGTGACCTCATACAGCCTACAATAATCATTTCTACTCACAGGAATGAGGCATCTGCACATGTTTGCATAAGCCACACTGAATGCAGCTTCATCAATGGCCTGCAAAACACAAAGGTGCAATATCAAGTGTCATTACCATAAATCCCAATCACAATTATACATTGTCAGGTTATCCAGTGTTGTAGGAATATCTAACTTTTACTGTGACTGGAAAGATCATGATTAGATGAGGCAGTAACTAGGAGTTTGGTAGAGGATAAATTGCCCTTTCATTACCATGAGTGACCTAGACAGAATTTTGCCTCAAAATATCAAAACATTATCAAGCAGACAAGTGATGAGAACAAAAGGAAAATATCTCAAAGAGGGGATCATTAGTTGATCCAGCATCAAACTCTAAGAACTAACATCACAAGAATTGTACAGCAGACAGCAAGGATAAACTACTAATGAGATCTTGGGAGTGAAAGGGTTAAATAAATAAGGTTCTTGTGGCACAAGGGTAGCACTAGCAGCATGAGAGGTTAAAGGTTACAAACAATGACATTGACTCTGATAGGAAAATAAAATATTTATAAAACCTACCTTTTCAAATATGAGGTCAATAGCACCTTCCAATCTCTCTTGTGTGTTAATTTCCAAGTCAATAATCTGCTGTGTTAATGTCTGGAACTTCTGGGGTGTTAACTTGTTCAAAATACTCCTCACCTTGCGGAGTATCTCCTTGGGACACAAATAAAAGCTCTTTGAAAATCAACTAAATACTAAGAAAGTGATCTCATTGCTAATTAGCCAAATACAAAATTCAACTCCATGGATTAGTTTAATCATTGAAAATGACCAAAAAACCACCATTAAATTGTACATTTCATGAGCAATTTTTTAATTAAGTGACAAATGTAATCTGGGAAAGAATTAGTTCTGCCTGTGATTGGTCTAGGAAACTTACCCTTCCTTCTCAACCACAGCAGTGCAAGAACTAAATCAACAGTCTCCTGCTGACTCATGCTTTCCCGTGCTTCACACAGTGTACTCGTATTAACAATTGAGTTCAAATTTTTGTATCCACCTCTGTTCTCATAAGCTACTGTGATTACTATTGCTTTGGTTCCATAACACTCAATTGGAATACAACCTATATATATTACCTCAACTTGAAACCAAAACACCACCATTATCAATTGTTTCAAAGGACCATGGGGAAATTATGCACAGTAGTTAATTGTCACAGTTTGCCTAAGATAACCAATTACAATATTATGATTAACAGCCTCACCACAAGTCCATCATCTATTACAATCGCATCAGAAATCATCATACATTACATGACAGAGCATAGGTGTGTTGCTAACAATGATAATTCTTCCTGTGCCGTCACTTCAATAGAAAACCCAAATTTATATTTAAATACTGGAAAGACATACCTCAGTCTTCATCTGTTCTTCACTGAGGCCATCTTTCACAGCTTCACTGGGTCGCATCCATCTTTTCTCTGTTCTTTTCAGTTGCTGCAATCAAATTAGGTCATTACTAACATAAACAATGACATAAAATGAAGGAATCAGCCATAAAATTTGCAGTGACAATTAATACTGTAAGTGCAATTTAAAATCTTGTACTATAGGTTACTGACCCCCTGTAAAGAGAACTGTGAATAAAACATTAAGCTACTGGATTATTTAATTTGCTACACAGTTAAGACATACTAAACAACATCTTAACATATCAAAATATACCTACACTTACCTCTGTGCTAGCTATTTTTGGAGCAAGATCAATCACTTTCTTGGGTGGAACATTTCTACGTCCCGCTCTTTGGTTTGAGGAGCTATTCTGCAATTGTTAGAAGATAACTGTTAGGAATTTTCCTCCCATTTGATCATTGATGGGTGCACATGAGACATCTCTTATTATAGTTTCAAAAACATTGGGTACAAATAGGTACTTTAGAAAAGGGGCAAGAAGTTTTGAAGGCCTGGAGAGACTCCTCTTCCAAGGGAGATCTAAGCACCTTAGGATAGATTTTGATTTTCCTACATTTTAAGGTCTGTCTCATGTTGCTTAGAAGCGCCTTGGTGAAAACCAATTTGAGGATGTATGTTTGGACTTCAAAGATGTTCTATGTGAAGGCTACAAGTAGTAACTACATGCATTACAAGCAGGTAGATCTTCCTGCTACCATGTGCTAGTCTTCTTAAAGATCACTGTTACACCAAACAATTCACTCAATTCACTTTATCACATATTTTGTTGTTGTTGTTGTTGTTTTTTATGATGGCTGGAGTATAATCAATGTCTCCAATCTTGTATAGTTCAAAAATGACAGAGAAAGTAAAACTACACTGAGTGACTTACTCTTGAATTTTGCCTAAGGTAGGCCGGTAGAAACATATTTTCACCACCATCTTTGGGTTGCATCCTGCAACAGAAAGAGTAAAAACACAACTTAAAATGAACAAATGCAACTGGCAGCATCACAAACAGTGGTATATTCTGGCCTCATTGTAATTCTTGACAAGTTTACACTTTGGCTTAAGGGGTCATAACTCAAGGGTGCAAATACAGCAAACACTTAAACCTATCAGTGCCCAGTCAAGTACATTAACCTTTAATCCAAAGGGAACAAAGGTGACACAGTTAGTGTGAAATCAAGTATTGGCCATTTCCAGGAATAGCTCTTAGTTTTAGAATGGACAAAATCATTCCCTCAACAGCAGTGCTTTAACCACAGAAAATTCCTTAAAACATGTGGAACTGCTGGCATCAGTGACAGCAGAGTAGAGCCAAATCAATGGATTTATCTGTACATCTGTACAGAAGAACCAATGATGAGAACAAAGTAATGGAAAATGCCACACCCTTAAGTTACAATGTACAGGGGAATAGGAAGATTACTGAGCAAGAAAGGAAAGCCATTCAGTAAAGCTAGTTAATTCAGAGCTATGGGGGCAAAGAACCAACAATCATCATAGTATAAAGGATTTTTCCGAGAGACATCAGCACTGCCTGGCCTGTTTTACCTGTTATGAGAAAATCCTGATTTGGAGGGAGTTCTTGCTTGGCCAAGAACAACTTCTAAATCAGGCAGACCCTCTGGCTTCAACATACACATTGGATTGGACTGAAACTGCAACAAGAAATCTCTTTCGTATGTGAGCTTTCCCCCATCTTGTCGCTCAGATTCTTCATCAAGGTCTGGAAAGGATGATTCTGTTGAAATGGAAGTGACATACATTTAGACCCTTGAGAGTACAAATTAGAACAAACCAGTGACGACACTTTTTTATTTGCAACAAAATGGAAATCGCAAATATTTATGACTGTCTCCCTTAGCTCAGAAAATTGATAATGAAAAATGGGTACAACTTTTCAGTTCAGTTTAGATTAAGAAGTGTTTATATGGAACAAACACTTTGGGCATATTCGAGTTCACACAAAAATAAAAATTGATATAAAAAAGCCAACCCTACAGTTTCCCACACAGCCACAATCTAACTGTTTTCTACCACTTCATTAGGAGAAAAAGAAGGCAATTTTAGAAAGAATCTCACAAGTCGAAGGGCAGAAACAGGGTACCCAGTCCCATGAGGGACTAACAAGGCACCCCAATCGCAGAGGACACCCTGAACATCCTTTGTCATATACCTTCTTTGTCCTCCCATGTTTCCTCCTCTGACAGAACCTCTTCAACAGCCTCTTCCTCTTCTTTAGATTCTTCTACTGCAGGCTCCTCAGTGTCTTCAGGGACCTTCAAATAAAGCACAAGGTACTTGAGCTTGGTATAAAACTTAGGTAGCACGAAGTAAAGAAACACTTCACCACCAGTGGTCATGTCGGAGGAGCCAGCAACTGATAAGCTGCCTCACACAAGTTAAGATCTGTCAATCCTCATTACAAAAAACATCTCTATGATGTTATATTTGCACTCCCATCACAAATGGGGAAATTTGCAAATTCTCAGGATTACTATTCTTGTTATTTCAGTAATGGTACCCTTAATCTCACTTAATTGATAGCAAAATCTGGTTTGAAATGTCCGTATATACAAAAAGCATTGAATTTGATACTTTTGATACTGCACATGACTTTCGTAGCCATGCCCTTTCCCTCTGGAGCTTACATTCTTCTTGTCATCAACAGAGGGGATGCAAAATTAGAAACAAGTCATTAGTTAACTGATGTTGTTGATTCTCCAAAATTTCAATTGCCAGGACAAAGTTTTTGTCAATAATTGGAATATATGACTTGCTTGTCTGTATTGTTGTATTTGGTAAAATGGATCATGACATGCCAACTAGCTCAAGGATGTCACAGTATCAATACAGTTACCAACGTCAGAGACTAAAGTCAGTATCTCACTCACTACTGCATTCATTTGAGAAGGCAGTATCACCCATTCTTGCAAGAAAAACATTTACCTACAAGAATACACATGTTCACATTTTCTAATTCAACTGAATTATGCTGTATTTACCTCCTCCTTAACAGGCTTCTCTGTATAAGCATCCATAAGATCCACTCCCTTCTCTGAGAACCGTTTCTCCATGTCCTTCAGACGCTTGTTCTGTTTTTTCTTCTTCATGTCTTTCCCTACAACATCACAAAAGGAAGCAATATAAAACTTGTAGCTAGCACAAAACAACTAGACTGGGCAATCTCAATGGATTACCCAAATTTCATTACATGGGGCTTAAACTGACTGAGCACAGGACTTCGCCTGTCTCATTTTCACACAATTAATTCAATCAAGTTTAATTCATTTTCATACAGTCTAAGTCCTTCCAAGAAGCCATATGGGAATACTGCATACCATGGTATTAGTATCTGTATCAAGTGACCAAATTAAAGTATGATCTTAAATTGATTCTAAAACATTGAGTGAACTTTTCAGCAAAATTTTCTAAGTTCTTGTTGGCATAAAGCAGCCAAATGTCTTGAACACTTAAACTGCAAAGTAGGATTAACATGTGGTGGATGTCTTCCATTCCAATTATTTTTCAAAATAAAAACTTTAGTACAGTACATTAAATTTTCTACAAAAAAAATTGTCAAATAGCCTCTTGAAAAACACATGGAGATAATGTTACAAATAATACTAACTGAGCATTGCATGATGGCTAGCATACAGAAATTTACAAAAAAAAATCAAAGTAGTTTAAGATATGGTACATATAAACTATCCATCTTTACAACAGCTTAAATAACTGCTCTGCAAGCATGTATCAATTGATATGTGAAGTAAGGAAACTACAATGTAATTTGCCCTTTGATTTTCCACCCTTATGAAAGAGCTTGGTGATAAGACTTACAAAGAAGGCAAAATTGTCTTAGAAATAAACCACAAAAACAAGCATAATGATTCTAATTGACCAAAACAAAAAAAATGAATCAGTGAAGACAAACTTAATCATCTGTAATTTGACCCAGTAAAAATTGAAATCAAACAGCAGTATGACAGGAAGTGACATAACTTTCAAAAACAGGACTTTACTTCTGATTAATTCTTCATAGTGTTATGAAATTATCATTTCATAACACTAAAATGAAGGTCAAAAAAGGACTCCTTTTGTAAAATATTTTGCTTCACTAATTCCATCCCCTAAATTTTTACTTTACCAGTGAAAGACTCTTTGAATAATTACCACATGCAATATATATCTGGGTTGCACAAAGCTGTGACTCATCACTAAAATGTACACAAGCTTCTAAACCTCTGTTTACCTTACCTTTTCCTTAAATTCTTTTGATGATAGGTTAAAATTTTAAGTCTTAGAAGGCAAAACACCTTTTAGTTAGGCAAATTCTTCCATATGGTTTCACTTTCTGTGACAAAACATGTAGACATTCATGAGCGGATATACCATTTGATCATTGCCTGACTTCATATGGAAATGACATGCATATTGTGAAATCTTTGCCCTCTTGTAAAACGAATCTAAATTGACAAATCCATCAATTCACAAAAAGGAAGCCAAAACTTGCCAAGCCAGTGGAGCAATCCTCATGTTCAGCAGTATAAAAGCAGACAGTCTGGGTGAGAAAACTGATTGCTCAAAGTGTATTGCCCAATTTCAAATACTTGGCATTCAATTGTGTGTCACCCACAAATAGAATATGACCTCATGGGGTCACCTTGTCAATATCAAATTCTTGCATAATTAACTAATAAGTAAATCCCACATTCATAGGGACCATGACAAAATTAATATTTAACACTTAAATCCTAATTCCAAATCTAACACTCCTACCATTGAAAAATTTTCAAAACAGGACTCTTACCGAGGCTTTTTGATTGAACAAAATCACAAACATACAACAATGCATTTTCAAATGGATGGAATGCAAGAAATTAAGTTCTCTTGAGGTGTGGATCAATTTCAAGTCAAGCCTTAAACTGAAATAATCTCTCAATATAAGATACAACACCTTGAACAGTTCTTTGTGCATTAAGCTTGCGCTTAAAAAGTCAGGTCAGTAAAAAAAAAAAAAAAAAAAAAACTCCACAGCTCAAAGAAATAATTGGATGAAAATTCTAATATACAGTGTTAACTTATAGAGAAAAGAAGGAGAGTAAAATATCATGGATCAAATTTTTAAGATTCATTATCTCCCAATCTTTTAAGCACTGTTTGGTAATTGATAAGATCCCAATATACTGTTAAAGAGGTTCAAACTACTTCTTCATTGTATCAGTCGCACTGCAGTTCAAACTCTCCAGGGAAACCTAATAAAGTAGCTCTGAGCCACTGGGCCCAAAGAATCAACTATGCAGGGCTGAGAATTTTGAATCCTAGCTTACTTGACTTTATGTTTAAACATTTTTGGTAAAGAAGTTGCACTATATCCATATGCTCTACTTGCTGAAAACACATTCTCATTAGTCACATACCCTCTGCAAACTCATAAGAGCTCCCAATTGCAAGATGTTTGTTGGTTAATTTGGGTGTCAGTGAGCTCTGGTAAGAGCTTCCAACAGTTAGAAGTTTGTTGGTTGATCAGGGATTCAATAAGCTCTGATAAGAGCTCCTGATTGCAAGAATTTTGTTGGTTGGTTGAGTCAATGAGCTCAAATAGGAGCTCCTCAACCCAAAAAGTTTGTTGGTTGATTGTTGAGTCAATGAGCTCTAATAGGGGCTACTCAACCTAAAAAGTTTTTTGGTTGATTGATGAGTCAATGAGCTCTAATGAGAGTTCCCAATAGCAAGAAGAGAGAATATCAATTTGAGTCAGAGTTATGGTTTAACCAACCACAATTATCTCACATTAAGAAACTGCAAAAGGTTCCCCCTCCAAAAAAATAAAAAGAACAAAAGCAGCATTTCCAGAGATGTTGCTTAAACTTTCCTGAAATCCAACATATCGGTTCTTCTGAAAACCATACATTGTCAAGCAAACAGGTAGTGTGAATACTCAAACTTA